CAACAACAATGCGCTGAACTGAACAAAAAGCCTAATTGAAGGTAATTTAAATTGATTAGCCTAAACGTAAGCCCACCACATCTGACAAAAAACTTGTCCTAGGTTGGGCTACAAATCCATTTTTCGAGTGTTGACTGCCAACTGTTAACTGTGGAGGTGTAGCTGCTGCATTTTATTTTTCGAGCTGCTCTTTCAATTGGCATTGTCAAAAAAAATATATATATATGTGGAAAATAAATCGTGTGGGTCGCTTGTCATATGGGTGGCAATATGGTTGAATATGGTAGCGTGTTTTGAGGTGTTTATGCTTTAATTAAACATGATGAAAACAACAAAAACAACTAAGCGAAAATGAAAGGCGCTCAGGTCGAACAATGCCACAGAAGCATTGTCAAAAAAAAAGACTTAAGACACAAACTTGACTCGAACTATGGTTAATTAGGAACACGGCTGTAATTAAGTTTCGATGCAAGATTGAAACAACTCATGTGCAAAGAAAATACAAAAGCCTTGAAGCTAGCTCAGTCCCTGATGTCATCCGTAACCATTTTTGTGTTTGTTTATATCCTGTCTGCAGCTGAGAATTAATGCGCGAAACCAACCCAAAAGCTAGCGTTAAAAATATTTCAACTCTTGTCGAATGCAAAAACAAATTGGCGTCTGCCAAAGTTCATCGGAATTTGGAATTTTTCTATGCAAAGCGCAGCTAGCTCATGATTTATAAAGAATTCGTTTTTTTTTTGTTTTTCTCCTTTTTTCGGGTCTTTGCTGTGCGAGAAATAGCAATGTGCAGACCATAAAAGGCAAAGCTAATAATTATGACTTTGAAACGTTTGAATATGTTGGGTAATTTCTTTGTTTTTTTTGTGCACTTTTTTTATTTTTTTTTCTTCTGATTTTGCGCTAATTTTCTAAAGCATTGACAAACAATGCAAAATCAGAAAAAAAAGATTTTTTGCCAGATATTCGAATAAAGTTTCAGTGCAAAATGCAAATGCTGTGCTTGGGCGTGGTGTCAAAAACACCATTAAATTATTGATTAAACAAAACAAAATGCTGTTTATTTGGTCAGCAATCACATTAGACCTTTTTAGTGCGCCGAAAACCCAAGCGATTCGCTGTGACAGAATATTAAGGAGACTCTATATATGAAATTAAGAAAAATAAGTGGTGAACGACTGACAGATACTCTGTAATTTTGGTGATTGTATCTAAAGATTAGCTTATGTTATTTATGTCATTTAACTTGGCTTAGCTCAAATTCTAATAAGCTATAATATAAATTTGCAACAAAATTGAAGGTATACTCTTCGGAATTAAGCAAATTTTTTGTATTACTATTATTTTTATGATTAATTTCCTTCGAATAGTATAATTAGTCAGATATTCTTCTGTATATAATAGTTATATTTTAAAAAATATGTATATATAATATATTCAATTATTTGCTTGTGAGATAAATATAAAAAATCTATCTTATAAAAAATATACTTGGCTATAAAAAATATATATGTAAAGAACAGCTAGCACAATATATAAGGAGGACACATTTTGATCAAATCAATAATAATTATAAACAACTCTGTGATAGAGCCCCAATAATGTTGGCCAATAAGAAAATTCATTTTTTATATAGCTTCGTCGTTAAATGTGCTTAAGAAAGAGTTGTTATATCTTTGATAAACATAACTAAGAATATATACACTTTCCGAGCATCTGCTTTGTTAATACATTTTTAAGACGAATACATGAGCCCACTCAAGACGACAAGATATTCATTTCTGTTTCAAAAATTGATTGCTAGAACAACCGATGAAACTTTAATAATTAAGAAGATATTGCTCGTTTGAAACTTGAAACAATAGAAAACAAGTTCTATAAATTAGTATAATAAATAATTTTATATATATATATATATATATATATATATATAAATTATATATATATATATATATATATATATATATATATATATAATTTTTTTTTTCTACAAGCTTTGTTCATGAAAATAATGGTGCAACTGAGCATGTTGGACAACAAAATTTAGTGATAAGCTCAATATTTTGAAAAGAATTTGAAACGCAGATTATATTTAGCATATTTTTTTTAATTAGGAAGGTTTTGTTTGTTCCACCTTAGGGCTAGAAAAATTACAAAATGTAATCCTTCACAACTTCTTCTCTGTTGCTGCTTACTACACCCATGAAAAGATCCAGAATTCACAATTGTAACTTCTCAGAAATCTGGCACGTGCTGCTCGATGACTTTTGTCAATAAGTGCTTTTAGTGATTGCAGTGTTGAAATGCGCTTAATGTCACCAACGAACCGTCAGACAAACAGATAGACATACAGCCAGACAGCTCTGTGCATGACATTCAAGCAGCTGATAAATTGACAAAAAATACAAAAATAAAAAGGCGCGTGGCAATAAAAATTATCGTAGGCTATGACGCGGCACAAGGTAATGCAATATGGCTGGGGACTTTGGGTGCTGCGAATTGCGACTCGAGCTAGAATTCCGCACCTAGTTTTTTTTTGTTTTGTGATATCTTTGGAGGTGACAATTGGGGCCAACACCTTTTGCCAATGGTAATTTGCGCTAATGTACGCCACAAAGTTCTTTATGTGACACGGTGCATGAACTCTAAGCCATATCAGGGGCATAAGACATAAAGTCATAAATATGAGCGTTTTCATATATTGGTAAGTCAATCGAGAACTGATTTTGGATTACCCCATTTATTAGCGGCTCTCTTAAATATATAGCCATATTTATGGCTGAAAAAAGCCACTACAACTATTTGCATATGGTAAACGAATGACTAATGTCCAGCGTCTGGGCAAATTGTGAACTCATGCGCAAGCTAGAATCATTGAACTTTAATTGTGAGCAAAAGATTTCATTTTATTTCTTATGATTCATGGCGAATTGAGCAAATGTCTATATATATATATATATATATATATATATATATATATGTTTGTTCAAGTTTGTTGCCTAAGTCTTTTGTTTTAGCATTGCGCAAAAATGAAAAAATAAACGAAATAAGAAATGCTGAAAATTACAACTCACGCTGCCTGAGAAAAATCTTTAGCTAATGAACGTCGAGTGGGTGAGAAGTAAAAATGTAAATGTTGTGTAAGACTTAGCTGCCGGAAGTAATGAACAGATAAACAGAGTCTGTGAACGTTAAGAGGATAAACGCAATTATGACAAACATTTAAGAGTGGTCTGAACTATGAATTCTTTTATAGAAAAAAATAAAAACAATTTCAAAATTGTTCTATTGCTACTCTGAGATAAAATGTAACAAGCGAGGGTTGCTGGAGAAGTAAGGAAGTGAGCTTATCGAGACAGAGACAACAATTTGTGAGCACTCAAAATATGGAACTAGTGAGTCTTCTGTCTTACAGCTCTGATTTGGCAGCTAATGATTTATTTTTGTTGCCAAATATCCCAAAATGAACGCCAAGAAGTTGCTTAAGCCTATTTGAAGACTCGGCATGGAGCTACACAGTTTTGAGTTTAAGCCAAAGCATTTGTTTTCCGACTTCTAAGAAGAATATTTTATTAAATAATAAAGGCATTTTTACTATTATTTCACTATGTTATCGACCCTCAACCCTCTTAGAGCAATAATTATGGGAACGCATAGTTGAGCTAATTAACGCAGACAAAGAACGAAGAATGCAAATTGTTAGAATAACTAGAAAAAACAAGTGTCTCAGCTTGCATTAAGCTTTGTTGTAATTTGTAAAACTTTTCGCTATTAAAATTAAACTTAAAGAAATGTAAATTAAAAAAAAAAAACATTTTGGCAAAGCTTATCCTTATGTCTCTATTATAATAAGTCAGAAAACTTTGATTGAGCGTTGGCTATAAAATATTTTTGGCAAAACAGCTTACTTATTTATTATGCATATATCAGATATGTGAGTTTATATATAAAATTGATTGCCTTTTGTGCTGGCAATGGACAAAACGGTAAATATATATTTGTGCATATATAAATCAAAAGACGAATTGCACGTACCTGGCGAGCGATAGTCAGACGTTGATAGCGCTTTTTAGCATGTGCCTTACATTCGAGCCGCTGTTCACTGAAGGCGTTTTAGGCTTATGCTTAAGCTGTTTGTTGCCTCAAACTCCGGACAGCAACAACAACAATAACATAACCAAATGCACTGGCGATTGGCATCAATGTCGCTTGGTCGCTTTTTAAGCTGCGCGATATATATATTTTTTTCGTATATTTTATTTTCTTATTACGTTTTTTTTATCAAGACACACACATACACACACACAGAGAGACAAGCAGGCAAAACAGAAAACGCGTGGTATAGAAAAAATATATAAAAACGTGTAGTCAGCAAAGCATTGGCATCAAAATTATTGAATAAAATACACACAAATATATATACACATATATAAATATGCAATAAATATATATATTTTATGTATTTATAATAAAAAATTAATTTTCAATGATTTTTGATGCCAGAGCAAGTGGGCGAAGCGCAGCAAAAGAAACTTTAAATATGTGTATATAAACAGCTGTTGCTCGTGGGCATATGGAAGCTGGCTGAAAACTTCTGAGCGGCTGCACTTGGCAAGCAGAAAATACAGAGCCATGCAAAACTCAGCTCAAAACCTTTCCCTTTTTAATTTTTTCGCTAGGCCAACTTGTCGCGTTTCGTCTTTCACTTTCTTTACAATTGTGAATTTAACTTTTGCTGCTTAGTCTGTGTGACTAAATATACATAAATATATATATCTGTGTACATTTATATATATATGTATATATCTAAAGTAAAAACGCGGCACTTGGCTTCGCTTATTTTGCGTTTCACACTGAACGCTTGGCTACACTTCAATTCACGTTGAGTTCAACTAGGCTACTGGCAACTGACATCAGCCGGAGCTAAGGCTCTGCGTACAACTGTTAAATGTTTATTTATTTATTTAATTTTGCATTGTTTTCTTTATATTATTTATTACTTTTATTTGTTGTTGTTTGAAATGTTCTTGTTCGCACTAGTTCAACGCCTGCGCTAAATGTGCTTATATCGTATGTATATTAATTGCTCGGAACTCGAACTCGTTTTTGGTTGTTGTTTTTTCTTATATTTTGTTGTTGCTTTAGCTTGTCAAGTACTTTGTGTATCTTGTGCTCAACCGAACCGTCTGTCTCGCACGCCAACGCTATACTAAAAGAGTTTTCAGCTTGGCCCGCGCGTTAAATAAGCTGCCGTCTGACAGCTGGCCCGACTACTAACTTGGCCCGTAGCCTGAGCGCTGCCTTCTGGCCATTGGATGATGTCAGCTTTTTGCCAACAGAGAGTGCCCAGGGAGAGAGCGAGAGTATGAAAGAGCAGCGAATGCTGCTTAAAGAGCAAATTGTTCATTCTACTCTTTACTCTTGGCTTGGCTTAGTATCTACTCGTATTGATCTGCACCCACTGTGCTGCAGCAAATGACACCAGATAACTAATTGCTTATTACAATCTATATCTATCTATATATATAAGCTTGTATATAAATACATGTACGCAAAGCAACAAAAGCTTTGTAATAAAAGTTGATTTATTGTTGGCATCCCTAAAAAGGAGTGAGCAATTCCAAGTAATTCCAATGAAGTCATAACTTCTTATAGAAAACTAGCAACAACTATCCTCCAGATATAAAGAGATTTGTGAAAGGAACACAGCGTGCGCCTCAATTTTATATTTTATTTTTTTCTTTGTTATTTAATAATTATTTTTCATTTATTAATTATTATTATTATTACTTGCTTGAATTATGTATTGTAAATTGTATTTCAAATTAAATATATTTACACTCTTAAATTACATATTATAATTGTGTTTTGTTGATATAAAATATAATATAATAACAAAAATATAAAATATTATTAATACATTTTAGCATACTTAACTTTAATACTTTATTTATCTTATAACATATACAATATATACAATATTTCTTTTATTTATTCTTAAAATATATTTTCTATAATAAATTCGCAAAAATTACATAAATATTATAGCAATTTTATGCATAAAATAAATTAAATTTGACATCGAAAATATCAGAAACTATATATGTAGAATATATATTAATATGGTTACATATGGTTAAAGAATACCCTGGGCATACTTTTATTATACTTTTTGCTTCATATTATTTGTAATATATTTCTTTTTTAATTTATATCAAATATTTTATATTTTTTTAAAACTTTTTCATTTGTTTTTAATCTATATATTTTAAAATTTTCAGTTTTTATTCTGTATATATTTTCTCTTATTTAAATATGAATGTTTACTATTTGTTAAATATTTATAAATACATTATGTTATTTTATACTTCATTTCAAATTCCATCAATTCTCTCAATGCAAAGCTCGACAACTCTGTCAGTCGCTCTTAAGATTTGCGCTCTCTACGCTCTTGGCCGGCATTTATTTTGCTTTGTATATGCTAAGCTCTCACACATAGACAACAACAAACCGGCATTTGAGACCGGCGTGCGCGCGTATATAAATAACGTAACATCACGTAACGTAACGTGACCTGACGTAAGGCAATGGGGCTCAGCCAAGCTAAAGCTGTTGAATTTATTTTTATATTCATGTCGTATGCAATGCCATTGAACTAAAAGTTATATATATGTATATATCAACGAAATAAATATTTTACGAGCGGGCTGCTAAAAATTTGGCTAATCATAAAAAAATATACTTTTTAAAGTGAAGTATATGTAAATAATAAAAACAAAAACAGCAGGTGTCTGCCGACTGATACAATTAAAATGCGTCAGCACATTTCTTAATTAATTTTTACATCTTTTGGCCATAAGTCAAAATGGATGGCGCAACCATTGCCAATCGATTCCATTGACGCTACAGAATTAAGCCATTAATTAGAACATAGAAAACAAAAGCAAATCAAAACACAAACGCATTTGATATGCCCCAATGCTGCACGTAGGCTGTGCTCCAATGCAGTTTACAATTCGCCTCTAGTCTAGACTGGAGACTAGGCTACCTACTCGCTGGTAGGTAGGCAGGTAGGTAGCTAGGTAGCTAGGTATATATGGGTACGTACAGCCCCCTGCGAGCATTTACTCACACTTAATACACGCACTGGCATAACAAAATGCATGTCAAGTTCATGCCAAGTAACGCTCGGCGTCTCAATAGGTGGAAGGTCTATTGCGGCACTCGGGCGTGAAGATCGAACCGAGAACAGATACAAATGGCCCTTTTCGCATTTATCTACTGTATCTATAAAGGCAATTGCAATGCCAATTGCATTTGTATTTAGCTGTATCTGTGTAGTTATGGTCGTTACGCTTACAGCAGGGCCATCACGAACGAGGGCTGTTACGTGAATTAGTTATAGTAAGGTAAGTGAAATAAAACTTGGTATATTTTTTAAATAACAGGAAGTTGTCTGTAGACAAAAGTAGTAAAAATAGAGCCAACATTTAACATCCAATTTATGAACAGTACTCGAAACACATTTGTTTATAAAGCTGAGTAGCAGTGCTCTGCTATAGAGTACTATTGAGTACTTAGTAGTCAGTTTACCTTGTAGTAGGAGAGAATTGTTAGAGCTAGTCTATGAATTAGTGTTTAGATAAAAATAAGGTCTTTACTGATGGCACTTAGACTAACAGCATACAATGTCATCACATAGAGTAGTTAGTCTTTTTGAGTAGTAGAAGATAGATAACGTGGAACATGCACGGAGAAAGGGAGCATTAAAGTCAGGAAAAGCTGTGGATAATATTGAATGTGGATACTATTTTATAAGCTTTAATGCTAATAACGAAACCTAAAATAAAGCTTTGATTAGGAAGAGTTGCTTCTTAAATATTCTATTTTAGTTTACGTTTGAACTCATCTTAAATTCTAATATGAAATAGTTCACGTAACCTATAAACATCTACAATTATTTGGAATTCCCTGCCAAAGTCTCTCGACAAACAATGACCTGCTTTTCACTCTTTATTACTTTTGTTACATGCAAAATTTATGATTACTCACGTTCCGCCCTCGCTGTTATAGCTTTCGGCCTGGCCCTGTCAATATCTGTGCGCCTGTGGATTGGCTTTCGCTACACGCGCCACTTGACCCTTTGGGGCTTTGGGTTCAAAACGTGTCGCTAGCGGTGGCTGTTTCGTATTGGCTCTGTTACCAATTGGCGGCTGGGGAGGGTCTTGGGGTATACGTATTTGGTTACGGCTTTGGTTATTGAAACAGCAGCGCCAACCATTCAAGCATGGCTAAAATAAAAATGTTGTCACGCCGTTTGGAAATACTCGCAAATGTTTTTTCTCCTTTTTTTGGGCTACAAATTTTTGAACAAATCGCATTTGAAAGTTATGCCCCTCTCATGCTGTATTTATTGCTAACTTTTGTGTTCCTTTTTCCTCTTCTTCTTCTTCGTTTTATTTGCTGGCCGAGTGTGAGGGCAACAAATTGCGGGAAACTTTTGTTTTTCTTTGGTATTGTTTTTGGCTAAATGATTTGTTGCGATTGTCTGTTGTTTATAGATATGGAAATTGTGTCCTTTTTTGCCTGACAATTGTTGTTAATGGGTGAAGCCCAATTTCGGTTTTATGTGGGTGGTAAAATGCATAAATTACCACGCTAATAAATTACGGTCAGGCTGGTCTTCAATAGAGAAGAAAACTCTATTTCTTTAGCAAAAATATTATTTTATATTACTTTTCCTCTTTATGAAATTAAGGAATAAACATTTATAACATTTTTAATAATACAAGTTTCATGCCATTTTCTTTTGTAAATTACACAGATAGTATTTACAATTAAAATATGTATAAATATATTAATCAGAAAATGTATTTTAAATATATTCGGTCAAAAGAAACAACATGATGTAATCAAATATATAACTACATTATAAAATATTTATATTTAAAATGATGCCAGGAAATTCATATTAAAAATCTTCGATGATAAAAACAAGCTATGGAAACTAAAAAAGAAAATATGAAACATATAAACTGATAAAATAAATACCTTATAATAGAATACAAATTTACTTAAGATAATTTACACACCATATTTCTTAATCAACAAATTCATATTAAGAGATTTGAAAGCAAAAAAAAATTAATGATTTGATTTCCGAACATATTTTGATATTTATTTAAATATATTATAAAGTTTGCTTTATCTTCATATTCTTATACTAATTATAATCAAGGAAGTTCTGTTCAGATGTTACTTGACTTCTAAGCTAAGTATAATTAATCTATGTGCAGCTACCGAGAGCTACTATTCTTTTCCTGTATTCAGCTGGAATTTGCGTATTGTTAGAAAGAGCTTGAACTGCTAATGAGAGCTATGGCTGAGTAAATTTTAAGCAAAGTTCAAGAGTCAATAGCATCGCACTTAACGCAACAACAGCCAACAAAATTGCTAACAAATGAGGCATCTACACATCATTTACCACACGTGCTGTACACTATTTTGTTTATGATGCGTTTTGTTAGCTAAAACACAAATCACGTTTCACAAAAAACATGCATTTTGTAAGCAAATACTTGTTGTGTTTGTTGTTTTGTTACGTTTGCTTCCTCAATATTTGCTTAAAGTTTTTTTTTTTCAAAATTGTTTTTGTTGTGTGATTTATTTGTTGTCTGCACGGCAGCGCCCAAAAAGTCGGGCCTGCATGCTTGACTAATTGCTGAAAACATATCGTGGCACTAAATTAGCCGCATCAAAACAAAAGCCAAATTTATTTGTTGGATTTGTGCCCCGCCTTTCCATTCGGCCAAAAAGGTTCAACAGTCGTCGTCTACCTTTTGCTTCCGGCTTCAGGGCGCCAGCTGCAGGTGAACAAATTTGTTGTTTGTTTCATCTTGTTGAATCGCTTATTCGTTGTCTCCCTATGCGTTGACATGTGCGCTGTGGTGTCATCTGTGCAGCTTTTATATGCCTGTCAAAATGGTTATTATACAAGTTCTTGAGCACATAATGCCATAAAAAATAAAAGAAAAAACTACCGCTGCTTAAGTACTCGCTTGTATAATTGTTTTTATTAAAGTAGATGTCTGACTACAATTAACAAATACAGAAAATGTGTAGACAGTTCATAATATAAATTCAAAGCTGATTATAGTCTTGACTTATAGAGTTATTTCAATTATTTATAATTTTATTCAGATTTAGCGCATAAAACAA